ACAGCCTGGAATGAATTTGACTGTTTTCATGCAAATATCTGATACATACCTTCCAAGCACACAGATTAGCCATGTTTCCTACAAAAAAGATCTATTTTTCTACCCAAATTTATATCTGCCTACCTGTGTTCCATCCCAACACATATGTTCATTGCTATGTGTTAACCTGAAAGATATGCAACTTCCAGAAGTGATCTGCAGGTGTTTTCCTTCACCATGAAAGAAACTGCCCTCTGTTGTAATACCCTTTTTTCCTGCTGCATCAACAGTCTGGCTTAGAAATACAAAAAATCCTCTTCACTGAATGGCACACAGATGCAGACCATCTGAATGAATATCCAAATACACCTGGTATGGAAGAAATTAAGTTCAGTAAAAATTCTAACTTCTACAAGGGACACCACACAGTTTTACAAACCTAGGAACAGAGCAAGATCTGGGACAGGACTCCTGCAAATGAATAGACTACTTAGCTGAGCTGTGGACAAGTTTCGCATTTTCTTTCCTGATGTTGCACAGAAAGACTTCAGTACACACCCCAAGCTTTTTTCTTTTGCCTCCTTGCATCTCTCTGAGTTGGCAATAAGACCGAGCCTCAGTGTTCCTCAAGTAAAATCAAGAAAACATGTTTTTAAAGTGTACCAGCATTTCCATTGCTTCACATTAAAAAAGAAACAGAGATGGAGGGGGGGGGAAAGGAGTGAGACTGAAATGTTGAATGGTTTCCCATGGTATTTCTTAATGTCAAGGGAAGAAGGCATTAAATAACTGGTGCAGGAGTGCTTCCCTTTGTTAGCACACACGACATCTGTGATTTTGCTGCTTGCTGAGATGTGGAATCCCTCCCAGTTGTCCCAGAAGCTCAGAGTCCTGACAGAGGAGAAGATGGAGAAAATAGCAAATGAAGAGCAGCTGTGATTTTTAAAGCATAGTTTCCATTTGTTCTGGATACCCATAGGAAAAGCACCTTGATTTTTTGGCAGTAACCAGCCTGAACATGTTTTCTTCAATTTGTTCCACGGTGTGACATGACACGTTAATGGAAGAAGGCAGCATGTCCATGCACACCAGACTGCCCTGATGTTGCCCGATCTCCATTGATACCCACCCAAGCCAAGTGCACAAAAGCTTTCAATCTTTTTCCACAAAGCTTTTTCAATCAGACTTCAGGACTTGCTTGGCCACACTCTAAGATCTTATACTTGAGCCTGAGAACTGGATTTATGTGATGACGAGCTATTACCAAGACCTGTTAATGAAACAAAGGAAATGACCCCTCGGATCAGACCAATGAACATTTCACTCCATGTTTGCCCACAGTGGCAAATAGAGAGGATTCTAGCAATGGTGACAAAGGACAATCAATAACAGAACATCCTGGTCATCCTGGAGGTTTGCTTTTGAATTCTTGCTTTTGAACTCACATGTATCCCATTCCACTAGAGTTTTCTCTTTCTTTTAAAATAGTTTGGATTGCCATGGTCTAAAGAGTTTGCATTTGTTTGATTTCTCTTACTGAGATTCTTCATTTCACAACATTTGCTCTCTCCTGCCTTGCTCATTTCTGTTAGATTATTTAATTTGTGCTGCCTATAGCTTTGTTATGGTTCCTTATATTGTTTCCATGCTGAAAGTAATCTGAATTTCTTCTTCTCTGCTTAACTCCTCAATTTGTCACATGCTTTGCTCTTTAAAGACCTACTCTCAGAAAATCAGGTGGATAGTCCTGGTTCAGGCAACTAAGGAGAAAAGAGATTCTGCTATGATGGTAAAGGCTTTAGAGAATGTGCTCCTAGATGACCAATTCCTTTTTTCAGTTAAGCAATATAAATCTAGGCATCTCTACAAACACAGACCGTGTTACACCACTTAAAACAAAAAGGGAATAAGAATTTGCATATTTAATCACTCGTAATCTTTTAAGAGGTTCTCCTTAACCCACCACAACTATCCCGACATCCCATGCAATCATAAGCTGCTGCACTGGTCTTTGCTTTGCACTGTTCAGAGCAGTTTCATTCAATTTTTGCACATGGGATGAATTCTACAGAGAATCAAAGTTTGCCAGAAGGACAGATTTCTTTTGAACCTGGGATGAAAGAGAAGGAACAGACTTCAGTGTGCCTCTGATTACAGCCACCATGACAGTTCATATGTGTAGCAATAAAAATAACCATAAACCTACCTAATCATTAAAGTAAAGCAAACAACTCCTCTCTGTATCATCATACACAGGTACTAGAGTTGTTAATAAACCAGGAAGAGCACTGAGGCACCGGAGGAGCATCTTTCCTATCTCCACAGTTTCTTAAACAACTTTAGAGGCATGTTTTTATTAAGTATATGCAAGGCAGATGATCTTAAACCTCAAAAAGAGTCTGTATAATAATTGTGTGCTCTTCTAATGCTCTCCAAAGACCTATTCAGAGTCCATTCTGAAAGACAATAATATATCAAGAACTTCTGCAAACTTCCTCCTAATGAACACATGCCAATTTGAGACCAAGAATTCTGGCCTCAGAGGACAAAATAACCACTGCTCTTAGTCTCTGGGTGTTTTGCTACTTTATTTCAGAGTGATTCAAAATCTAATTAAATTTCTAAACTCTAATGAAATTACAGAAGAAAAATCATTTAGGATTATATTATATACAATTACTCACAGCTGAAAATTACAGTTAGCCTCTTTCACCAGGATAGGGTCTCCTGAGAAATCCTTGTTATTCATATAACATATAAATCTGACATCACTCCACTATTTACAGGTCGAAGGTAAAAGCAGAATTAATTAAACATATATATCCTGCCCAGTGGCTGGATGGTGGAGAGTAAGCAATAGAGGAAAGGATGATAATGATGACTATGCTTGAAACCACATTCCCCACTTTGGTCAAGAAACAGAATAAACCTATTGCAAAGCGGGATTTTATTAAGCCTGATTTATTCGGATCAGTGCTTTTCCTCACTGGAGGTATGCTGTGAATGAAACAAGTGAAGCATAAGTAGTCAGCAGTGTGCAGTCAGCTATCTGAGCTGTCTGAAGCATTTTGTGGAGAAGTAGCAACGGAATAAAACAAGCAGCTTTAGAAAGTTCAGCCAAATGCTTAGTTTAGATGTTTAGTTGCTTCTCTGAAGTAAACCCCGAGACCTGGCTTAGGCGAGGTTAAATAAAAGAGAAAGAGAAAAAGTAAAAAAGAAAGGGGGGAAAAGGCAAAAGAAAAAACAGAGGAAAAAAGGAAAGGAAAAAAAAAAAAGAGAGAGCAGGGAGGGGAAAGAGAAAGCTGACATTTGTACTATTCCTTCCATAAGTTTCTCAGGAAACTTAGAGCATGGGATCATTTGCAGATGAAACATGAGGCATGAAAACATTGGGGGTTTCTTACAAGAATCTTCCCTATGTTGCTGGTGCAGAGATTCTTGTTGGTTTTGGTGTTTTCTCTCTGATCCCAAAGAGAACCAGTGACAATGAAAGAGCAATTACACACACATGCATGTGTGCACACGAACACTCACAATAGGTCCAAGCATTAAAAAACACTTTGTATCACATCTACTTCACTCAGCCAGTTTTACCTGTTTCATACAGCAGAACAAACCAGGAAGCGAGGCCACCTCAGGGGGCACATGGGTCATCTCTACTTATATTTTTAGTGCCTCAAGAGCCTTATTTGTTGGCTAACACAGTGTTTTGCTTAATTCTCCACAAACACCTGGTAGTCATAAATACAATTTTTCACTCACAGCTTATCAGAACAACTAAATGTTTGTGAACATCTTGCTCATTTGCAGTCACATTTTTCCACCAAGGTATCCATACATACGCAGTCACTGGCATTCCTTATGGACTATAATGGTCCCATTAAAAAACAGATTTCTGGAAGGAGGCTTTATAACTGTAATTTACTCAGCAAGACAGATGTTTCATCCAGCCTTAAGATGCAAGATTCTGTTGAGACCAGATTGCTCAGACATTCCCTCACCAATAGCAGGAAAAATAAGTATCCAAGAGTTTTCTCTCTGAAAACCTCTCACTTAAAATGTGTTCCAGATTACTTTGATTGGTGTATATAAGAATCTACATGAGATGAAGATACCAGACAGCAAAGGACTATTCTAAAGCAGGAAGGCACACAAAGAGGCAAGAAGTAAAAGCAATAGAGACCCTCCACAGAAATCTGCTGCAAAAATATGTTCCTCATGTTCTTTGAGTCTTGCTTTTCTGAAGGATGGACCTGAAATGGGTTGGGAGGAATGAGTCCACTTAGCAAAAAGGGCTAATATACTTGTATGCATTGCTGTCATTCATTTTTGGAACAGGTTAACCTGTTGGAAAGATGAATTTTCCTTAAGAAAAATCTCTTCTTTGATTGTGGTTCAAAGAATAAACTTGACTTCTATCAGAAGCATTACCTGCTAGTAAGTTCTTGCTTTTTAGATCCTACTATGGCAGGACATTCTTCTTAGGTATAAGTTCTATTCCAGGAACTGGCTTGCAGTGGTTTGCAGCCACAGTGGATTTCTTCCACTCCGCTCCTAGAAAGCTGATTATGAAAGGGAAATGTTTAGCCAAGTACTCCTCTCCTCTAAATGTTACAATGGCATTCATGTTGAATTTAAAAAAATACTGCATCATTGATAGAGACTTCCTTAGAAGGTTCTCCTTCTAAGCCAGAAAATCCACTTGCATGCCCATGGATTTAGAAGACATGAGCAAAGATCAATTAACTGTGGTAGGACTTCTTCTATTTTTAATATATAAAAAAGTTAGTGTTTAAAGGTGCCTTAAGAGAGCAAAGCAGCTGAACGGGGCTGTGACTGCTCCTGTCCACCTCTTCCACAGAGCAGCTTCAAGTGGGGAATTTATTTGTATGCTTAGCTGAAACCCAGAAAGGGGAACTCCTGTTTGCAAATGTAACTACTCAGGATGTGGCTGAAGTTTCCCAGTATAGTCACATGACCGCTTTATGTCTGGGGTTGGGTTTGTTTTTATTTTTTTTAAGAAGACACTGCAGAAGAGCTAAATTCAGAAAATTGGGTGAAACTTCTGTGTCAAAACTTCACAATGACCTTCTTAACACACCGGGTACCAGTGCTACTGGCATTTCTCCTCTTACGTAAGTCATCTATCATATTTCTTTCCTATCCTTTTTGAGAGCTTTTTCTTTTCCCTGAGCGTGGTGGGGTTATTTATTTTCCAGTCTAGTTTTATGTATGAAGTTTGAAATTTTGTTTAGAAATCTGTTTCTTGGTGAGAACATTTTTTGAGACAGTGAGGTACTTTGCTGAGTTTTCTCAGCTAGCATTTCCTAGACAGAGTTCTAAAGGGTCTGCTGTGTGAATCCAGAAGATACTGTGAACTTCACTACCCGCACCCTTGCAGGTTAGATGGCAGAGGTGCTGAACGTCCTGTTTGGCACTGTATAGAAAACAGTACTTCAGTAGAGTATAAGAAAAAATTTGAACAGTGTGCATGTTATCTGCAAGCCAGTTTTGGTCTTTGCAACTCTCACTCACAGAACTGTATGCTTCTGACTCATTCTGCTTCTAATGCTTCCTGCCAGCCCAAAGCATAGCTTTTTCACAATTTGCTTGTTATTTCACAGTTACTCACATCCAATTTGTGCAGGGAACAACTGGGGCTCATGGATAGCAAGTGTCAGCAGGGGTCATATTAACACTGGGATTAATGTAGACTAATGGGGAGGATGGGGCTGGCAGCTGCCATAAAGGCAGAAGTTTACAGTGGTTACTGAGGTCTCTGAGATGTTAAGTAAGACTCATCTTTACCTAATGAACACCTCCCACACTATCCTACTTCACGCAGATATTCATACAAAATCATCATCTACTCTTGGGGAACCCCACAAGGGCAGTTTGCTCCTGCCTGAGGCATACAGACTGCTTGCACCGACTGAGCACCTGATCCCTCCTCAGCTTCTGTGAGCAAAGCTATCCATAGATGTACAGCAGTGCTTTATCCTCTTGTAGTCCTTCTCAGGGTCATAGCAACAACGCATAGGATGTTGTTGTTCTCACTATCCTATTTGTTGGACTTTAAAGCCCTCTGCACCTTTCTATTGACACTTCCAAGTCTCCAGAGAAATGGAAACTGTCCACCACACATGACATAGATAATCAACCATTCTCATAGATGTGGAGTCAGCAACATCTGCTCTCCAGTTACTGACTAGTTACTGCTCACCAGTCAAATGACACAAGTCCCATTAATACAGTAGAATTTGCTTAGAGTAAAGAGATGCAGATTCAAGGGCAGCACATATTCCACAGCAAAAGGCACTTTGAAATAGATAAAAGGGAAACACATTAACACGCCTCCAACTGACACATGGAAAGGTGCAGGCAATCTATAGGCCTTGGATGGAGGGGTGCCTGGCAAAGACTAGAGCTCAACAATTTCTGTCTCCATGGAAGATTGATTCCTGTCTTCATCTATTGCTACAGAGAAGGATTTTGCCTCTAATTTGAGGACCAAGGAAGCACCTAATTTGCCTGGATGCCACCAGTGCCTATCTTATGAAATGCGTATGTAGCTGGGAATTTTGCTACACTAAATACCAGCTAAAATACTTCTTTTAATAATTTTTTTCATGAGTGATGTCCAGCAGGCTCATTGCCAGTAGCCTCTTTGTTGCCATGGGCATTCCTTATCTGACTCTGAACTGCTCAGGACACCCACTGTGAGTCGCCCCTTTTTACAGCCTACTTTAGAGTTCCCCAGATACTTGCTTCCTTTCCCATTTGCTGCCCCAAAGAGAAACGGTCCTGAACCCTGGGCTGCTGCAATGCCACAGGACCAGCCATTATGTGCTGCAATGAGGAGAAATCTGAGATGGGGAGGAAGGGAGAAGAAAGTCACATGGAAGCAGGAGGCAGTGAGCAAAGGGACTAAAGAAAGTGCTGTGCACTGAGAAAGGCGAGGTGCATACTGCCATTTGTCCCGGCAGGTTACAGCTGGGAGTTGCTCACAGTATCTAATAAGGTGGGAAAGTGAGCTATTCCTGTTCCCTGGTCGTACGCGCAAACTGCATTCTGCACCACTTTCCTCACTGCACTGACCTATGGGCAATGCACCTCGTGAGCACAGTTACACAGCAGAGGGCACAGGGAGAACAGGATGCCCCCCAGTGCAGCTCAAAAGCTGTTTTCTTCTTTGCCCAGTGTTGTGTGCCATCTGAGGATGGCTGAACCAGCCCAAGGATACACTGGGATCACAGACCAAGGCTCTCAGCCCAGTCCCAGCCTGATGTATTTATTTGCAAGTCCACTACCTCAACAGGAGCTCTGTTTTGGAGGAGGTAACCACAGTGGCAACCCTAACCCTAACCCCCCCCCCCCCCCAATAGAGGACCTGTCTAGTCTGCTGTCTCATTTCCAGACTCTGCCACCAGCATGCACAGAGAAACATTGCACAGCCAGTTGGAGATGCAGCCCACACCTCTCACCAGCCTCCTGGTGCAGGCAGGGCCTTGGGGGGCACATCCTTATTGCAGTGCCAGTTGCGTGCTATGCCTGAGCTGGGTACATATGAGAAGTGAGAAAGCACCATCAGTTACTTTAAGACCCTTTGAAAAATGGTCCATGAGTCACTCAAGTACAGATACCACATTCACTTGCAAGTCTCTTCCACCCAGAAGCAAATATTCTGCAAGTCCAGAGGGCTTGTTCAAGATGTGGGAGTTGGTCTCAATACAGAGATAAGGGGTCAGAAAGCTAGCACTGAGACTAGAGCACTCCAGAAGTTAAGGCATAATTTCTAACCTCTCTGTAGCAGGAGGTTTGTGTACATCTCCAAAAGATCTAAATTGAAGATGGGATCTGGGTCAAACAGCAACACGTGTGTTTGATTTAGTCAACCCACTTCTTTTCATCTAAGAAGAACCTGAAACAGACAGAAACCAGCTATCTAACACAGTCCTCACCAGCAAATCGTGTTTTAGTAGCACCCAGTAAACAATATTAAACCTTAATTAAAACCATATTGAAAATATGAATAGGAAGTGTTCCCTCTAGTCCTGTGGGTTTTCAGAGGTTTCCATTCCTCCCTTTTTAAAAAGAAACTAATAATTTAATTTCAATATCTTAAACTGACCTACATAAAATATTCCATGTAAAATATTATTTCTGCCATAAAACACATAATCTGTCACTGGTTTAATTCCATTAGAAAGCATACATTAAGGTCTATGTATAATGATCATTAGGATAATAAAAGTATTACAATATCACTTTTATTATATTTGAATTTAAAACATTCTTCATATGAGCACAAAGAATAATTAAAGGGATGGAGGAAAGGTGGTTTTTTTCTTTTTTAATTTATAATGAAATACATTCACAGGCGAGAGCAAAGAGACTGGTTTTTAATCTGGAAATTCATGAGCTTTTTGCACCCACTATATAATCCTAGATTTTTTCTTTTTTAAATTTCCTTTTCTTTGTAACTTTCATTTTGGTCATTTGGGATAGCAGTTTTTGCGATCATAGCTGCAATTGGATTCCCCAGCCCTCCCAGCTCCCTTCTCCAAGTGTCATAGGGGTTTTGGAGAGAAAACATTTCTGCTTGTATAAAAAAAGTTTCCAGACATTTTAATCATGAAGAAAAGTTTGGCAAAAAAGGACTTTCAGCTCAGAATTATGGTTCCCAAAATATATTTGCTTTAAAACTCAACATTTCTTTTTTTTAAGCTTGTCTCCAGATTTTTGAGGTTTGGATCGTAATTTATGAATATTTGGGATTACAAATGTGATTAAGACCAGGAAATAAAAACAAATCTGTTGTGAGCCACACAATATATCAGATATTTCTGACATAACCATGGAAGCCTCAGAGCCCACACTCAGCTCAAGAGTTTCAGCAGGCTGAAAAGCAGACACAAGATAGATTTCTGTAAAGGTACCAAAAAGGCTGGTTTTGGAGTGGGAGGACTGTGCTTCAAGTTTAAAAGTAATTGTATTTCTAGTGTTCGTTTTAAGGGACAAGAAATGAAAGCACAGCTCCCCAAACCTCAGGAAGCATGCTGTTTTAAAATGCAGGAGTCATATCTGCCTTTAAAGCCTTCTCATGCCCCAGGCACCTCATGCAGCTACACATCAGTTACATCATTTGGAGCTACTAGTAAAGACTTTGGTGGTAATATGCCCATCACTGAAAAAGAAAATTTGAGTGTACATTTTTAGCCATTTCTTATAATAAGCAAGCAACATTAAAACTAAATGTAGCCTCTCCTTTCTCTTGACTTCTTTCCTTTTTTGAAAAATTTTGAATATTTTCTCAAAAAATTATGTGGGAATTAATCGTTTTCTTCAGAGCCACTCCATGCTGAGGGACTGCAGACTTTGAGCATCAGGCAGCAAAGCTCACTGCTTTATGGAGAAGGGCCAGGATAGTGTCCTTTTGATGAACAGGGAACTTGGCATGGGAGTATCTGAGAAGATTTGCTTCCAGCCCATAAGATTCTCTCGCAAAAGACTCTTGTCTACCAGCAATAAATCACATTTTGAAGCTTGGAACTATAAGAGGGACTGGCTCACAAATTTTCTGGAGAGGGGTGCTGGGGTGTGCTATGTTCTCTCTTGTTAACATGTCATTAGATTTACTGCATTGATAGTCTTTTTCTTGATTTATAGCAACTTTTCTTGCATACATCTTACAAGCTTGCATGGAGGAAACTCTGGAATAGAAACAGTACTAACACAACATAAAATATAAAAATTTTGTATTTTCCATTCTGTCCAAAACCTGGCATGTGGTGCCCACATTCCTAGGATGCCCTTATTAACTTGACTGATAACTATTTACTACTGAAGGAAGCCTCAGATACTTTCTTAAGTTTTACCAGGATCAACCAGATAAGGCATTCTCCTTTGATATAGAGTATTCTCCTTGATATCCTAACAGGATAAAATGTTTCCATTTCAGATTTTTGGAGAGCAAAGGTTTATGCTTCTGGAAACTCAGAGGAGGAAATAGGTGAGTCCATGGTGAGAGTTTTGCTTCCAGACAGGAAACAAGGGGAAAAGAAATACAACAAAAATTAATGTGTTTAGAAGACTTTACATACTTGTTATGTGTAGAAAATAATCACCTGATTGCATGTTTGCATTTTGCCTAGCACAGCAAAGTCCTGCTGTATGACTGGAACTTTTAAAGTACTTTTGAATAAATACAATGAGCCTAGGGAGGACAGATCCTGAGCACAGGCCCTCAACACAGGCGTTCTCCTGTCTGACAGGTGGAGGTGGTTCCTTATATACAAACAATGGTGGGGAAAAAATAAATCACATAACTGTGCCTAATTTACACTTAAAAATTCTTGTGCTTCCTGTCAGTGAGGATTTACAGAGGCAGAATAGTTGGGTAGGACATAAGGCTGGGGAGTGGGGAGGTGGAGTTAAAGATACGTGCATGCAGGTATGGGAAGCAGGAATAAGAGTCTGGCAGGGTACAAAATGACAAGGAAGTGAGAATGGGGAATTTCACTTTTGGGGGGTAGGGGAAGTAGAGCCCTAGCTAAACAACTCAGCTGAAACCTGTGCATACCAAAGGCTGAAGTTATTAGCTATCATAAAATGGCTTTGCTCCCCTTAGCTGCAAGTTGACGTGGTTTCACAATATGCAGAGAGCTGAAACAGTAAACTTTTCTCAGCTACCTAGTCTGTCTCAGCATTATCAAGCCCTTCTGGAGAATAAATATGTTTGTTTATTTAGTGATGCATTTAAACTTTGGAAACTTTGTGTCACATCTGAGACGCAGACTGTATATATTACTTAACAGTGTATACTCACTGATTTGTTTTCAAATCTGTTTGCAGATTTCACATATGTTATTATAGGAGTTACTCTGGGAGCGTTCCTAGCAATTGCTTTTGTAGCAGTAATAATCTGTATGATCAAAAACCAGATGATTGACAATGTTTTCAGAGGTAAGAAAAATACTCCTGCTTTCTTAGTCAGAGATGTAGATCTCCTTATGTTCCAATACAGCAGATCTGTGCTTAAGTGTTAGGAATTGTCAATGTGCCACAGCTCTAGTTTTCCTCTGAAGAACTGTTTTAAAAAGTGTCTGAAGTGGTCCCTACAGCTGCAGGTTCACAGCTTGGTATAACCAACTCTGCTCTTTAGCCCTATCAGAGAAACAGATTCACTTCAGCATACTGCTTAGGTATCTTCTAGAATAACTGATTTTTAAACAGAATTCTGTCTATTCAACTTAAGTTAATGAACCTGTGGCATCTGCAGAACGGGTAAGAGGCTTGCTCACACTTCCTAACCAAAATTACTATTTATTTCACTGATTCTAGACTTTTCTTTCAAATGCCACTGGTCCTAAGATACGCAGTTTCCATCAGAGTACATAGCAAAACTGTAAGTTTCCCACTGCTACTGATTTTCAAGTTGTTACAAGAAAGCATGTTTTTCATCTGAAGCAGGCAAAGGCTCTTGGCTATAAAATCATAACTTTTGAGTTCATACCAGCAATTTACAAAACATATTTTTGGTTTCAAAACCAAAATCTTAAACTGAATAATGACCATCATTTCAGTAGACAGAAGTTAGTGACAGGCAGAATTTGTCCCACTGCCCTCCATCCTGAGATGCTCTCTTATTTGACAGGACTCCAAAGTGCTTCACAGAGCAATACAGAACAAATACTATGATTTCTTCCACTGCTGAAATACAACTGTCATCTGTGAAATAAAGTTACAGCACACAATAACACTCAGCTGCAATTAAGAGCTAGAAATCAAGAGCACAGCATATAAAATAACAACAGTTAGTGGCAAATAAAGAGAATCAAAGTCCTGGCAGATTGACTTGAACTTCTGTATAAGTTTTTCTTTTTTGCAAAAGAAGAGATCTGGGACTTTGCTAAGGCAAATCTTTGCAGCCTATGTTTTTCTTGTTAAGAGAGGTCTGTACTCTTAGTAGTATGTGAAAATTTGGCTTAGAAGGAAACCATAGCAGAAATGGAAGCAGTGAGGCAATGTCATGTAATACGTGGGGAAATAATCCTTACTGAAAGAAGAGGAACTATAAAAAGATTTTGGGGACTGAAAGCCTTGCTTTCTGTATGCCGTAGAATCATACAATGGTTTGGGTTGAAAGAGACCTTAAAGACCATCCAGTTCCAACCCCCCTGCCATGGGGAGGGATGCCATGGTGGATCTAAAAATCTCCATGTTGAAATTCAAAAAAGCACCATTACAGCTCTGGTTGCATGCAAAATGTCAGGTTTTGCAGTCCACTTAAAAAAATAATAAAAAATCATTTATTCTGATAAATATAGCCAGTTTCCACCATGAAAGATGAACCAGATACTAAATAAGGAAATGCAGTGAGGGAACTCAGTCAGGCTGCTACAGCTAGGAGCTGCTTGTCCATTCTGCTGTATCCAGAAAACTTTGCTCTGTGGCTATGTCTTTGCATTAACCATCATGCAACAAATGAGAGGTAATTTTCTGGCATCCAGAACTGTCTAACTCTATTAAACCACTAGCACACCATGACTTGGTAAAGAGGGGAGCAATGATCTTGACTATTAAGCTTGGAGTGAATAAGACCAAGCTCTATGGGCCCAGTACTCCTACAGAGAGCTCAGCCTATCAGTCACAATCTGATTTCATCCCATTTAGAGTACACAGTGATCTTTTAAAGGATAATGTTGGATACAGACAGCCCAGGTACCTCATGAGGATACAAATGACAACGTAATGCCACTTCCTGACAGACAAATGGCTAATGCTTTTTTTAGTGGCACCGCATAGCAGGATTAATGGGAAACTGCTTCCACCTCATCCTCACCAAACATCTGCCCTCAAATTTGTTTTTCATGATGCTCTGGAAATGTGCTACAATCATGCTCAAAACATCCAAAATATTAGCAGAGATGCAGGTCTGAGAAAATTGACGTAAGATACTATAACTGGAAGAAGCAAGGACTTTAGGAAGGTTGCATGACACTACTAGTATCAAAGAGCTTTGCCTCAGAAAGAATGGGTGGATCTTATCCGCTACGACTATGCTCTGGTTACATCCTCATAACTTCTGAGGAAGCCTATCACCATTTTGTTCCCGGTTTCTCTAACTAACCATATTTTCCTGTTGTCTTTTTAGAGTCAGATGGCAAACTGGATAGAAGGTAAGAGTCATTATCCCACGCGTTTTTTGAGGTGGTGCGACAGACAAACTGTTATGCTTAACTTCTCTCTTTATGCATGATGTTTCCCCAGAACTGTGAGTTGAGTAACACGTAACATACATGAAAGCATGTAGTTGACCATGATACGCAGTGTATCTAGTGGATCTGTGTGGAAAAAGGAAATTTCTTGTAGCGTGATTTTGACATTTCAGAAATAGGAGGGAAATCACAGCAGACTGAGATTCTTTTTAAAAAGAAAATCTTTCAAACACTTTTGGTTAAGCTTCTTTTTTATGCTTGTACTATGTATTATAATAGCAAATTCATTAAAAAAGAAAAGGTATTTTTAAGGGATGAAAGCCAAAAGCCTTGTTTCAAAAGCATTCTTACAGGCCAAGGTCATGCAGTGATCATTCCTGCTGGAAGTAATGTTTTTTTGACCTTTACATGCCTTCCCCTAACCTAGAAACAGCAAGACCATTTCAGGTTTTGAACACATGGTGGATTCACAGTTAGAAGAGGCAGTGCTAGGCTGCTTAGTCAATGGCTACTCATCTTCTCCAAGGACCAGCAATAGGGTGGAGATGTACAGGCGCAGGGAATTCGGACTGCAAGTTGTCTGTTGACTGATGGCAATCTACAGATACTTTTTTGTGTCCCTTTGAGACATTTTATAAGTGTCTAAAAAAAAATTTAGACATTAATTAATCAGCATTTTCATGAACTGAAGGCAACATCTGTACTCAGTGACCTAAGAAATGGCTTTTGGCCTCCCTGTGACAGCTAGATAGAAGGATGTCCCTGTCACAGTCATTCTTCATGAAGAGAGCAAAGCATCTCTTGCTTATTTTTTTGCTGTTACACTGAATTAAAGATCAAAGCAAGGGCACCCCTTGCAGCAAGTGCTTCAATATTTTGCCTGCCCAACAGAGAAGACAAAGCATCTGTTATTTTACCAGGGAGAAACTTCCCCAAACTAACACAACTGTTACAAAAATGTTTCCAGTAACACATTATTCTCTTATACGACACTGAAAAATTCTGTGTATTAACCTGAAATAGATTAAGACTATTATCTGGCCATAGGAACAAACCTAGAATGCCCAATAAACTTTCTGATGTATTAAGGATGGTATAGACAGAAAAACGATGGGAAGGGCATGATAAAGAGCCAAGCCAAAGCAGAAATGCCAGAGACCAGAACCAAGAGAAAAAGAAATAAAAGGAGAAGAGGCACAAAGTCAAGATCAGACACAGAAGGCAATAAATTTACTGCAGATGATATGATAAATCAGACAATCTATGAACTGCTCCTTGTTTTCTACATCCCCTTGCTGCTTATAATGTGTGATATTTTGAGACAGTTTAGACATTTATGATACCCTTCTCTGATCTTTCTAGGGAAAGTGACTGACTTTGCCACACATCAAAATTTTACATCTTTAAAGATGACCTTACATTGACTCCAGCCTACAAGCATTTGCTAAAAGGTACAGTGAAGTTTCCAGCTTCACGCCAAAATCCTGGTTTTAAGGCTGGGAACATAACACAATACTCAAACTCTTTGCCTTAGAGCTACTGACACTCACCAGTTAAAGAAGCCATAATTCCACAATGTGTGAGGGCAAAACTATGTATATTAAATAGTACAGTCACACAGCCATCTTGAATCACTCAGAATGCAGGTAACCTGAAACCCTCAGTGATAATCAAGATCATCTCCAATTCTTTAGGATTGTATGTCTTCTGCAGACAAATTCATTGTCTCTTGACCAGTTATGATTATTAGTGTTTGTTCAGGAAAAAACATTAATCCAACTGACAGAGCACTCACCTTTAGCCAGATTTTGTTGTAAACTTCACCTCATTATTCCCACAAGAGCCTCAAGTCCTTTGGTAATTTCTCTCCCTAGCTGGGATATATTCTGAGTAGCTGTCACCCAGCACAGTACTATCATAGCCAAAGGAGTTGTTCAACCTCGTACTAGTTGAAGGCCTTGATGCAGACAATCTTTTTTTATGCTAGAACCCCAACTAGCTGGTACTGAACCTAACCAACACATTGCAAGAACAGGTTTCCACTAAAATCAGGAAGCATTCCGATGTGTCCCCCTTGATACTTTCCTAAATGCTTAAACCAGAAGTGCTTCTACACCCACATGACACTGACAGCTCATTGTGAAATAATTAACAGCATTTGCAACTTTATTTAGTCGGGTATATAACGTTAAGATTTAAATAATCAATTCATAATGGGATGCCCTTAAACTCAATGGGATATTTACTAACACTTGAGAAAAGAAAAAGGCTTGAGGCAAGCTTCTGTCAGCTAACAAAACAGCAATTTAGATGTCAACTGACAATTATTTAATGTCCTCTATTTTAATTAATAGCTCATGTCAGTTTCAAATGCCATCTTGGTGTAAGCTTGGTAAATTATAATGCCTTAAAATTTCATGCAAGTTTAATGTATTAATAAAAATGTCTGGGCACATTTAATACTAGCAGTATTTTGAGTTAACTACAGTGCATGGCAGCCAGATTTATTTTGACAGGAGACAAAAAAAGAGACATACAGAGACAAGGAGAAGAATGGAGAGAGAATGCTTACTGGAAAGGCAAAGGTACATATTTTAAACCTACTGCAATAGCAAAAAAGAATCTGTTGCCTCAACACATCCTGGGCAACAGCACACAGCAAAACTCCCCATGCCACTCACTGGGTTTTACAGACCCCCAAATAAATCATTCATTAGGAGATCAGGTTTTAAATGCAATGTACAAGTCATTCTGGTGTTTGATGGAGGAGAGGAAGAGCTTGGAAGTTCCAAGCTTATCAGTCATTTTCTCTTGCTACCCAAAGCAGCATCTAGATGTTCTCTTGTATTATCCCCACTTGACTTCTTGCAAGGGACCGACTTCTCTTTCCTTGCTAGACTATGTTTAGGACACACAAGGTACTCTTGAGAATCACAACATTCTTTAGGCGAATGGAGGCAGGCTTGGAATATTATCACATGTTGCAAGTCTTCTGTCTCCTCAATGCCTCTAAAAATAGCACTATGGTAATACACTAGGTAAATCATCCACTTGGAAAATATAAACATCAGAGGTGGCTGTCATAACAAAGGGGCAATTATATGCAAGTTTGAATGTTGAGCTGCTGTTTCTTCCAACTTCCGTAACTGCCTTAGCCTAAATATTTGAGCCAAGAACCTTTTTCCTAGCATTTTGTCATGTTCAGATCTGTAGCCAGCTGCACTGACAGGCAGACAGTGAACAGGATCTGATCTAAAAATTTCATATCCTTCAAATAGATTTAAAGTCAGATAGAAAGAGAAATCTTCTGTTTTGGAGAGGAGAGCATCTCCTTCTGATGTAAATACTCCAGACTGGTCTGCACCATTTACCAAACAGGAAGCCAGTGAACCAGGTATGAGTTATATCACTGGTACTATCAGCCGCAAATGAGAGACGCAACCTGTCTAATCACTGGAGTCTGAGCTCAGAAGTAAACTTAACTGGAGACCTAGTTTTGATGCTAGAGGTACTTGAGAGTGCCACAAGAGTGTGTCCTTTGGAAAATGGGCCCAAAATTTACAAAGAAAAATCCATACATATTGAAAGAAAAGAGATTTTGGCCTTGTCTGAACATGTCATTGGAAGAGTGGTGCACGAGAATAAAGGATTGTGTTCTAGAAACACAGGTTACACAGGACACTGGGCATTGAAATTCATTACAGTGACTCAGATACTGCATCAGCTATTTGCAGGTAACACTATACATTTGATCTGCAGCCAGGCAGCGATACTGTCTCAGCCACTCTACTATCCATTGAAATTATATCTGCTTAAGATGCAAGAACATACTGCTGCTCTACTATAAGCATGTGCAATGGCAAAAGTAGCTGAAATAGCATGGTGCCAAAAATAACTCTGCAAAGAATTTATTGTTATACAGTTCCTAATCAGAATAACTAAGATGACCTTTCCACAAAAGATTTTTGTACTAAGAGAGCAGGAAACAGGGGCTGGTATTGCTTGTTTTAAGCCATGCTACAACTTATGTGAGCTTTAATTACTTTTCAATGAAGTGATTTCCTCCTGTGTAAATACGTCAGGCTTGGAGACATGTTTTCTTTCACTGACCTGACTTTAAGAGGACATTTTTGCCAGCAGTAAGGTATCTCACTTTGATGCCTGGAGGAACTGGAATGAGGTTAGTTCATTCTGCACATTTTGTTCAAGCCATGGACTTCCTGCTAAGACCACCATGAAGAAGTTAACAGGATTTGTCTGAACACCTTTGCGGAGGGAGATTAAATCTATGACGTGTTACACAAAATATGTGACAACTGAATTATCTATCACTACAAAGTACTAACAAAGACTGTAAGCTGCAGCTGTGGATATGAAGCAGCACACATTTTCCTAAGCATAAACCTATGTCTGTCATACGCCCCCAGGAGATGAGCACTATAGCATTCCATCCTTACCTGCAAGATTACAGCCTGTACCTTACAAGCTTCTGATTGCTTAAACATGCTCCCTCAGTTGCTACCAGTTGTCACTTTATCTTTCTGATTCACCTCTTTCAGCACATGGGATGCAAGTAACAAATACATGCATAGGAAAGGAATTTGTTAAGCACAGTCACTACTATTCTGAGGAAAGCTTTCGAGTGTTATCAGTCTTACCAGAAAAGCAAATATTGGTATGGAATGGTTTGGAAAGGTGGCATAGTCTTTCATGTAGAGTCCTAGATGCTTGGTCCCTTCCCAGCCTGGTCTTCAGACATGTAACAAGGAAAAATCCTCCTCTGAAAGATAGTGACTAATGGAATAGAAGAGGCACACCTGTTATCAGAAGCCATCCAACACCACTGACACTAGATGTGGGCAGTCCTTCCTGAGCAGCCTCATATTTCTGCATTAGCAGAACAGTGCCTGGAATAGACAGAATCCTCCAAGTTGCTTTATAACAGCAAAGAAAACCCAGAC